ACAAGATGTGAACAAGATGTTGAAAACGTGCTGGTGAAAACAAACTTCTCTACTGCTAGGTGAGGAAGAGCTGATATCCTTAAAGGGAGGGACTCTAGATAGGCTGACTAGACCTCAGTGAATGAACTTGCACTGAAGGACGACTGGGGACACTAACCTGACTCGATAGGCCTTAACACAAATGACAGAATGCATGAATTCCAGTGTGGGGGGGAGCATAGGAGGGTGCCAATTGGGAAGGGGGTATAAAGATGATTAAGATATTCTGTATAAAATACACAAAAATTCAATAAAAAATTTACAAAAACATGGGGCTGGAGAGATGGTTCAGCAGTTAAGAACACTGGTTGTTCTTGCAGAGGACCCAGGTTCGAATCCCAACACCCACATGGCAGCTAACAACTGTCCCAGGGGATCCAACAGCTTCTTCTGACCTCTACGAACATTGCACGACATGGGTGTACTTACCTACATGCAGGCAATACACGCATACACATAAAATAAAAATGATAATTTTTTTTAAAAAAATCTTTAAAAAAATTTACAAAAACACACCAAACTTCTCCTATTTCAAATATTTCTGTTCCACACAGAAATATCCAGGGCTATCATTTTAATAAACATAAATAAGCCTGACCTTTGGTCACATCTGGAGTTTGACCTACTTTGTACCTTTAGCACTATGTGCTGGCTAATTACTGACTTGGAACTTGAACAGAGGGAGATAAAATATCAGACAGGAGGTTTGCAGGATTAAAACCAAAACCCTAAGCAAGTTTATTTCAGCCAGTGGTGAGCAAAACCATTGTTAAATATTTACCTTTCATGAAAATTAAGGTTTGGATGAGTCTCGTCCCATACGTATGCTGCCCCCCCTAAATGGCTTCTGAAGTAGATATTTAATTAAAATGTGAAAACCTTCATATTATGTGCCAATCATTTTATGCAATAGGCAAGAACACTGCTGTTCTCAAAGAATATTATTCTTTAAATGTTTTGGGGTTGTTTTTTTTTTGAGACAGGGTCTCCCTGTAGCCCCAGCTGGCCTGGAAATTACTATGTAGACCACGCTGACCTCAATCTCACGGAGGTCCACCTGCTTCTGCCTCCTAAGTGCTGGGACTAAAGGCATGCACCACCACACCTGGCTTTCTTTGAACGTTTTTATTACATTAGCTTTAAAAGACATTTTAGTGTTTTAAAATTTATTTTTACTTAATATGTATGAGTGTTTTGCCTGCATATATGTAAGTGTACCACGTGCATGAGTGCCCTTCGAGGCCAGAAGAGGGCGTCAGACTTTTTTCTTTCTTTCTTTTTTTGAAGCCCCAGCTGTCCTGGAACTCACTATGTAGAACAAGTTGGCCTTGAACTCACAGAGATCTCCTGCCTCTGCCTCCCAAGTACTGGGACTAAAGGTGTGTGCACCACCACACCTGGCTATTTTAGTTTTCTTAAAGTTACGTTTGTTTGTTTGCTAGCAGGGACATGCAAGTGTCAGGGTATTTGTGTGGAGGTCAGAGGACAACTTGCAAGAGTAGGTTCTCTCCTTCTATCATGTGGGTCCCAGAAATCAAAATCAAATCGTCAGGCTTGGTGGCAACTATCTTTACTAGCTGAGTTATCTCACCAGCCTGAGTGATTAAATATTTATATCTTGAAATATTAACATTTTCCCAAAGGATGAATGCAAAGTGGATTCAGTAAACAGGACTATGACAACACAATTCTACCTTTTTCTCTGAATTCAAGGATTCTGAATTATATTTTTACACTCAAATAAATTAATAGGGTGACCAGATAATTCAGTGGGTAAAGGTGCTTGTTGCCAAGCCTGATGACCTGAGTCCCATCCCCAGGCCCCTCATGGTGGGAGAGAACTCCTGAAAGTTGCCCTCTGCCCTCCACATAATTGCTGTGGCATACTCACCCCCTACCCCAACACACACAAATAAGTAAATGTAATAAAGCCATTGCTTAGAAATTAATACTACCTTATTTATTTTTATGTAAGTATTTTGCCTGCATACATGTAAGTGTATCATGTGCATACAATGCCTTTGGAGGCCAGAAGAGGGCACTGGACACTCTACCACTGTGGGTACCGGGAGCCACACCCACGTCTTCTGCAAAAGTAGCCAGTGCTCTCAACTGCTGAATGCTGAACCATCTCTCCAACCCCCCCCCCCTTTTTTTTGAGACCAGGTTTCACTATTTACCCCTGACTGGTCTGGGACTTGCTATATAGACTTGGCTGGTCTCAAACTCACAAAGAGATCCACCTGCCTCTGCCTCCTGAGTGCTGGGATTAAAGGCATGCACCACCACACCTGACAGTCTTTAGTGTCCTTAGTCTCTTCTTCCTACTTAAGCAATTGCTTTGAAATCTTGTTTTTTAAAATATGTGTATGTGTATATGTGTGTGCCTGGCACATAAGTGCAGGTGCCCATGGAAGTCAGAAGAGGGGGACAGATCCCCTGGAACTGAAGTTATAGGCCATTGTGAGACACCCAATATGGTTGCTAGGAACTGAACTTGAGTCCTCTGCAAGAACAGTATGTACTCTTAGCTGTTGAACTATCTCTCCAGTCCCTAAATCTTGATTTTTGATAAAACAATTTTTCTCAGGAATCTGTTACCATGGAACAAATGACACATTTATTTCCTAAGGGGAGCTCAAGTCACACTGTAAGGTGTAGACCATTTCTTCCAAATTCCCTAAAATTATTGAACTAGAGCTATGTTGACCAAGTTGCAGATAAAGTAGATGGAGAGTCAATGTTTTATCACAATTAGAAATGATCACAAAAATATGGGAAACGGGATGGAGAGATGGCTCAGCAGTTAAGACCACTGGATGCTATTGCAGAAGACCCGGTTTTGATTCCCAACACCTACACTGTGACTAAAAATCATCCTTTACTCCAGTTCCAGAGGACCCAACTCCCTCTTCTGGCCTCCTCTAGTATTGCATGGCATGGGTGTATGTACATGCATGCAGGCAAAGCACTCACACTCACTTAAAAACAAAGATGGAAAACTAAGTATAAAAGTGGAGTTGAGTGTAGCTCAGTAGGAGAGTGCTTGCCTAGTATGTGCAAGGTCCTGAATTCAATGCCCAATGGTGTGTGCACATACAGGCATGCGCACGCACACACACACACACACACACACACACACATACACAAAGTAAATAGGGCATAGGATATTGGGACTGAAAAAAGAAAAAAACAGCACAAATCAGATCAAGAATAAGCCAAGGGAGAAAATAGAGCTAAAGAGATGTAAGTTATTATGTTTTAGTGTTGCTTGGAATTGAACCCAGGGCCTCATGCATGCTAAGCATGTGCTCTAGCATTAGCTACAATCCCTAATGCTCAAATATACATATTTTATATTCCCAGTAGGTTAGGATTCAATGAAGGTATGAAAAAAAGCATTAGGTATTAAAAGAAGGCAGCACTGAATGGAAAGAACCATGAAAAGATCTTTGGGTCACTATCCATAATCAAAAATAGTTCAAAGGTAACTGATGGATCCTGATTGAGTGGTAACCGTCTCTGCTGTATGAAACATAGATCATACACTACTAGGAGACAGCTCTGGGATAGCCAATCCTATCACCCCATGGACAAGTTGAATTTTAAAGCAGCTTTCGATAGTGACTAAAAAGTTAACAATGGGAAGTAGTGCCTTATAGTTAGGATGTACTCAGATACCTATTAATAATCTTCAAAGCACAGAGGTGTCAATCAAGCAATCTCAGTGAAGAAACTCATGGAATCCCTATTTTGTAGAAGGGACACAGTAAGACAAGCCAAATAGAGAAAGCCTAAACAACAATAGCGTACTTATGATTTCGGTACAGCTTGAATATATGCAGATGGTTGGTCCAGTAACACAAAACTACTTCAGCATAAAAGAAAAGGCTTCTGGGATGCTAGGGGAAGTCTCTTAGGACCCAATTTGCTTCAGCTCATTAATCAGGTAGCAACACCAGCCTGGTTCCTGCCACTTTGGCTCTAGTCGAAGTATTCAAAATTAATATGCACATGTCTATTTGTGTGTTGCTATCTTTCCAGCTGCTACTGATTCTAGAAGGTCAACAATTAGGAATTAAACTGATGATACAAGGATACAAAGTCTTACTGTTTCCCAATCTGATTGAAATTTAGAAATTCTAAATTCATTTATACATGCTGTGCCCCTGCCATCATTCCTGGCTGGCTGACAAGTTCAGAGAGGCTCCTGCTGGTCTCACTAACCCTGGGAATCCAGAGTCCATGAGCTGATCATTAAGGAGCCACAAAAGAGAAACAAGCCCCACAGACGGGGAGCCAGTACACACAGCCACATCCAAATTCATCCCCTGGCAGGAGATGCACACTGCTTCATTATGCATTGCTCACTGGCATTCAGAAACTGGAGGATCTGTTCAAACTGGGAGGTAACTGCAACAAAGGTCATTGTTATTCTTGTCCAGCTTCTAATTAATGCAGGCAAACTCTTTGAGTTTGGTTCCTTGCCCTTGGTTCTGAAGCATTATCTCTTCCCCTCCTCTCCTCACTTCTGGGTGGTAAAGGTCAGTTTTCAGACTGCCAGCTGGTGCTAAAGTGTAAACATTGCCTTTGGCACACACACACACACACACACAGAAATGTTCCTCTTACACTAACCATGTGTGCACATAAGCGATACACATGAATGCTAGAGATGCTTACTTAACCGGTTACTCATAGTTGTAAAGAAAGCAGGCCGGGGGGAGGGGGGCTGGGGCTCAGCGTTTAAGAACACTGGCTGTTCTTGCAGAGGACACGTGTTTGATTCCCACCACCCACATAGCAGCTAACAACTGCAGTTCCAGGGGAATCCAATGCCCTCTTCTGACCTCTGTGGACATTGCATGACACAGGTGCACTTACATACACACATGTAGGCAATACACTCATACACATAAAATAAAAATAATAAAAATTTTTTAAAAAGAAAGCAGGCCAGCTTTGTTTGAATTCGGATTTTAATTATGTACATAAATAGTGATATAAGAACCAATAGTTCTAAGGCTTGTACATTATTTCCACGTGAAAGAATTTTTAGATTAGTTAGCTTGTAGTATGGCATCACCCAAGATAGCAAAAAGGCCCTAGTGCAGTTTTTGTTGAAGAAGAAAGCCAGTTTACTATATCCAATACTGACTTCTTTGCCATTTGTCTGTAGAAATACTGATTTAGTGTCTGGCATTTCCGATGTTTACCTACAACTAAAAGAAAGAAAAGAAAAATATAAGTAAACTGTGTCTAGAAAAATAAAAATGGCTATAATTCTGCATTTTGAAAATGATTTAGATTTAAATAAAGGAACCATATAACATACTTATCATTTCACGACCATAAGAAGCATGACCCAGAGAACCCTGTAACTAGCCTCATCTTGTGGATAGGTAAACTCAAATTCAGGCTGTGTTCCATCAATACTACATTCAGATGTCCAACTGGCTGAGTACTGAGTATAGACAGACAGGCAGATGCACGAATAATCTGAAGCACATGCCTTCATGCACAACATATACCATGCACATCTCAAGACCAAACCACATTTCCCTGTGTGTGCTTGAGGAGAGTGCAATCATCCTCACTCAGCTGGGTGTCCTCATTCTATCGTTCTTTCCAGGAATATAAACTCAAACACACGCCAAAGCCAAACTGAGTCTTCTCCAAATTGTCTTTTCCTTCATATGCAATAGGTATACTTAGCAATTAGAGGTTTATAAATCTTTTATTTTTTGTGGTGCTGGGGACTGAACCAGGGCCCTGCACATGCTAAGCAAGCACTCTAACCACTGAGCTATATCCTCAGCCCAGTATGTGAAAAGCCAGTGACTGACTACTCACTGATCTTCTAATATAAAACCAAAAAATTTTTTTAATTATTTATTATTATTTTTTTATGTGTATGAGTGTTATGCCTGCACAGAGGTGGGTGCCCCCATGTCGTGTAACTGGAGTTAGCTGCCATGTAGGCCCGGATTCTCTGCAAGAGCAGCTGGTGCTCTTAACCACTGAGCCATCTCTCCAACCTTGTAAAACCAAAAATTCTTTTTTTTTTTAATGTGTATCAGTGTATTGCCTGCATGTATGTGAGTGCGCCTGTGTTGTGTAATGCCACAGAGGTCAGAAGAGGGTGTCAGATTCCCCTGAACTAGAGTTAAGGATAGTTCCTAGTACCATGTGAGTGCTGGGAATCGAACCCAGGTCCTCTGCAAGAGCAGCCAGTGCTCTGAACTGCTGAGTCATCTCTTCAGCCCCATCCCCAAACCAAAAATTCTTAAACATGCGAATGACGGGATTGTTTAATAGTGTCTCAGGTTTTTTTTTGTCTTCTCTAAGAATTTAATTGATTTACTGTATTACTAAACACTGGAAACAGCCTATATTAGCAAGGATTATGTAGACCATAGTAAATAAAGGAGTGAGGTGGTCCATAAGTACTGAAAAAAGATATACACAATAAATTAAGGAAAAGAAACAACTGCATTCATTCATTCAAAACTGCTAAACATAGCACTGTCTAGGAAGATTCTTAGCAAAAACTAGACTCTAAATCTGATCAAGCCTTCAGATCCAACTATTGGTATATGGGAAATAGAATAAAGGAACCAAGAGAAAAATGAAGAGATACTCACTAAATGGATATATTTAGCCACAACTTGAAAATGGAAAATCCAGGACAAAAAAGCCAAGTTTTTCAACAAATAAATGGCAAGAAACCATTACAGTTTAAAAGACAATTAAGAAACCTATCAGTCAAATGTGAAAGACAGATGCTGTTTGAATCCTATTTTAAATAAGCCAACTATTTCCAGTGTTTAGTAATACAGTTATTATTGAAAGGCTAGCATGGTTGCACAAGCCTATAACCTCAGCACTCAGGAGGCTAAGGCAGGAGGATCAAAAGTTCAAGCTCTGCCTAGGTTACATAGTAAGTTGTCTCAAAGTAACAAGGACTGATGATATGGCTCAAAGGGTAAAGGCTCTTGCCACCAAACCTGAAGACCTGAGTTCAATTCCAGGGACCCACACAGTGGAAGGAGACAAGCAACTCCTGCAAGCTGTCCTCTGACCTCCACACAGCATACATGCACACACACACACACACACACACACACACACACGTGCACACACACAAATACACTCTAAATAAATGTAATTTGGAGCTGGTGAGATGGCTCAGCAGTTAAGAACACTGGCTGCTCTTGTAGAGGACCAGGGTTGAATTCCCAGCACCCACATGGCCGACAGGACCATCAGTAACTCCAGTTCCAGTGGATCCAACACCCTCTTCTGATCTCCACGGGAATTGCATGACAGGGTGCACTTACATACATGCAAACAATACACTCATACACATAAAAATAAAAACATTTTTTTAAAAAACAACAACAAAGTTATTACTGAGACAAACAGGAAAATCTATGCACTGACTAGATATTAGATGGTATTAAGGAATTACTGTTAGTTTTTTCTGGTATGACAATAAAATTATGCTCATGTGCCTTCAGGGAGTTTTCTGTGTACTTGCAGAACAATATGAAGAATATGATTCCATTTTGTCAAAAAATCAAAAGCATGCAAATATGTATATCATATATTTATATATACACATACTAAAAAGTCTGAAATGATATACCAAACTACGAACAGAAATGATCTCTGGGAAAGGAACAGAGATATGGCAAGCTTTTAAAATGTTTATCTAGGGCTGGGGAATACTCAGAGGTACACTGCTTATCTATCACGTGTTACATCCACAGGCTACATCCTTGCCCCCCCCATATTAACTACAACCAACATTCACTGTTTTTATTTTATTTGTGCATACTGTATGTATTTGTTCATGTGTATAGTATGCATGTGAACATGCACTTGTGTGTGCATGACATCGAGGCCAGAGGCTGACACTGGCTATCTTCCTCAATCATTCTCTGCCTTATTTATTTATTTATTTATTTATATTTTATGTGTTTGGGTGTTTTGCCTGCATGCATGTAAATGTACCATATGCATGCAATCCTGCAGAGGCCAGAGAAATGTGTCAGATCCCCTGGATCTGGAGTTATGGTCAGTTGTTAGTTGCCATGTGAGTGTTGGGAACTGAAACCAGATCCTCTCTAAGAGCAACCAGTGCTTTTAACCATTGAGTCACTTTTATAGCCTTCCATCTTATTTTTGAAACAGGGTCCCTCATTGAATCTGAAGTTCACTGATTTGGCTAAGCTGGCAGGCTAGCTAGCTCCAGGAATCCACCTGTCTCCACCTTCCCAGTGCTGTGATTACAGGTGCATGGCACTAAGCTCAACTTTTTATGTGGATGCTGGCAATCTGAACTCAGGTCCTCAAGTTTGCATGGTAAGCACTTTACTGGCTGAGCCATATACCTACCGCTCCCCTTCCGACACACTATTTTCACCATTAAAAACTAAATGTCCAGGGCTGGAGAGATGGCTCAGTGGTTAAGAACACTAGTTGTTCTTGCAGAAGACCCGGGTTCGAATCCCAGCACCCACATGGCCACTAACAACTGTCTGTAACTCTAGTCCCAGAGGATCCAACAGCCTCTTCTGACCTCCGTGGGCATTGCATGACATGGGTGCACTTACCTACACGCTGGCAATACACACACACACATAAAAAAAAAAAAAAACCCAAAACAAAACCTAAACGTCTAATAAAAATCTAAAAAAAAAAATAAGGAATATAAAAATCAAGGTTATATATAGATAGTAAGTTGAACTCTGGTCTAGAATACCTCTGAAAACTGTTTGCTGTTTGAATCTTAGCTCAAATAAACCAACTATTTCCAGTGTTTAGTAATACAGTTATTATTGAAAGGCCAGCATGGTTGCACAAGCCTATAACCTCAGTGCTCAAGAGGCTAAGGCAGGAGGATCAAAAATTCAAGCTCCGTTTGGGCTACATGGAGAGACCCTGTCTCAAAACAAGGACTAGTGATATGGCTATTTACCTACTCTTCTTTTGTTATATCTCAGTGTTTTGTTTCATCTACAACCATATCCAATGTAAAGTCTCTAGAGGACATGTGTGGCTCTCTGGAAGCTCACTCTCTAGTCTCCCCTCTGCTGGCATATCCCCAGAAATGCTGATTTGGGGGTGGAGCCTGGGCCTCTCCTTTTTAACAAGATCCTAAGGTCAGTTATTAAATCGTCTGTATAACGGCTGAGAACTACTGGCTTTGGGTTACTATAAATGTGAAAGAGGAACTGGATTTGCTGTCTGTGATCCGTAAAGCAGGATAAGGACCACTATATAGGAGGCCACAAGGAAACAGCTTTTGCTTACTATAAGCAACAGCTTCCTAAAAATCAGAACTGTCCAAAGACAGCTGCGTTGTGGCGTGTTTCCTATCAATGCAGGTGTAGAGGGGGTGACACACAGAGCAACCCTCTGCTTGAGGCTGGGGGTTGTATCGCATGGTCTCTCAAATCACAGCATATGAATCTCTGGCTCTTTAAAAATATGGAGATAGTTGCAAAAGGAAAACCTTAAACTCAGGGATGTGAATCTTAAATAGAAGTTGTAATATAGAATAATATAGCATGACTCTTTAAGAAACTTTCTGATCATGTGGGCTGGAGTTTTAACTCAGTGGTAGAATGCTTGCCTACCTTGTGTGACGCCTTAGGTTCAATCCCCAGTACCACAAAGAAAACTCATATTCATAGAAGAAAGGGTGAAAAAATAAAGTTATAAAGAAGAAAAATGTATAAATGGACATTTAAATTTTTTATTACATCTCTTGGTCTAAGAAGGCAGCTTTCTTTTTTTTTAACTACCTTTTGTCTCTATTTAATAATTGTGACTGGGCCTATAAGACTAGAAGGCTAGAAGATGGCCAATTCGAGGCCAGTCCAGGTAACTTAGTGACAAAGTGTCTTGAAAATAAAAAGGAAAGTAAGGGCTGGGGATATAGCTCAGGCGGAGGGAGCACTTGCCTAGCATCTGTGAGGCCCTAGATTCAATCCCCAGTAACACAAAAAATTGTGTACATGCTCCATGCAATTAAGTATTACTGAAACAGAATAATACTCCTCTTTATGGCTATATCATAATTAAACTATCTTCTCATAGCTGAATATCTAGGTTATTTTTTTTAACTCCATATAATCTTCTAATTATCAGGAAATCACAAGAGCTATTATACAATTTAACATATTCACAAAATGTTAATATAATTAGTGTTTTGTACTTAGCAAGTGTGTGATAAGTAAATATTAAACAAACAGATGAAAAGAAATACTGAACTGAGCATAACACCAAAAGAAATTGCACTAAGATTCTGACCTCCATCTGGTTCTAAGTTTGTTTAAAAAAAAAAAAACCCAAGTACTTCTTGGGAAGAAGCACATTCAAATAAGCCATGGCACTTAAGCCCAGAAGTTAAAGACTGAAAAAAAAAAATGACCCTTACATTTCCACATCACAGTGAAACTGCTATAATTAATTAAATTAAATTAATTAAAGACAAGTCATTTCAGCTGGCACTAACAATGCTGAAAATAACCGGAATTTTCTTATTCTTTACCTGTTTAAAATGGGCAGAGCAAAGCATGGAGTTTTCTATTTATTTCCAGGTGAATTCTTCACATTTCCTGGCTTGCAAAACAAAATTGAGAGCTTTAATGCAATTTTAAAAGAAACAGTGAAACATGTCAAACTGTGTCCAGTATTTGACTAAATACAGACATTAGATATTATCATTTTCTTGGGGGGTGGTCAAGCCATTTTATTGAAGGGCTGAGGTGGGGAGTCAAAGAAAGGCCCAGAAAGACAATGGACAATGTGACCCCTGATTCTCAGCTGGGCTTGCAGTCACAGATACTGAACAGGTTACAATACAGAGGGGCCCATTTCTCAGTGAACCGAAGAGATTAGAAGGGCTCCTTGAGGGCCCTGCAGAGAAAGGAAGTTGAGCACAAGGAGTAGTAAATAAAGCCCCCCTAATCCTTATTATATAAATTCAGTCAAACAGTCGATTCCATAAAAACCAAATCAAATCAACAGTGAAAAGATTTCTTATGTCCTGGAAGTTCACTTCACTACCGCATGCTGCTGTCACTCTTAAAGAGGGCTTGAGAGCTGTGGGAAGGCTTCCTGCATTATCCACCATAGGGGCCAATTCACCAAACAGACACACTCTGAAAGATGTTTAAGTTGGACCACACCCATTCTGCCTGGCCACCATCCGGGAACATATAATTAGGTCATGTCATCCTTGAGAAGAGGTGTAGGAGTTTCTAGTGGGAAAACTTCATGTGCCTTCCTTTCTTGTATGTTTTTAAGGCTTAGATTCTAAAATCCTATTAATAATACCTGCTTGACATCAAAGATCAAAACTTGAGCTGGCAGTGTGAACAGCTCTAGGTCACAGCTAGACAGGCTGTGGGGCTGTGCTTTTGTGGACTAGACTTGGTACAGAGGCTCCCGGTGGCCCTCTCTCAGTGGCACTCATGGTTGAACAGGGGAAGAGAGAGCAAAAACATGTGACTAACCCTGTCATTGAACAGTATGGCTTTTAGGTAATTTTAGGGCCTGCTAGCGTGGCTGAGAGCTGGTCTCTACGTTCTGTTTTATGCCTGCTACACAAGCATAATGAATATTGTCCCCTCTCATTCTCTACAGTATCCTAGCTTGGATAACAAATTATGTGCACACCCTCTATGTACATACTATATCACTCTGTGATGGAGTTCTGGGGAACAAGACAATATACACTGCTTGGCAGATCAACATAAAATACAGAGGTCTGGCAGGTGTGGTGGCACACACCTTTAGTCCCAGCACTTGGAAGGCAGAGGCAGGAGGATCTCTGTGAGATTGAGGCCAACCTGGTCTACATAGCAAGTTCCAGACCAGCTGGAGCTACAGGGAGACCCTGTCTCAAAAAGATAAAAATAATAAAATACAGATGCCTGCTTGATGGAGCTCTACAGGACCCAAATCTAGTGCTGCTGCCCCGACCTGCTCCAGAACCACTTCCCACCCCAGTCTACACTTACACACACACATGAACACACATGCCTCATCACAGTCCCAGGAGCCTTTCTGCTGTTATCCAGACTTCCAAAGCTGCTTCCTGAGATATGAGTTTTGCAGAAATGTACCCCTCGACCTATAATGGTCAACCCCAATTTCTGCCTGGCTAAATACAGTTAATCATTTTCTCAAGATTTTCTTTGTACCTTGCGCTTCAACTTAGGCTCTATTACAACCTTTTGTTCACCTTCACTGCACTCATCTTCTTCCTAATTTGTACTAGTTCCTTCATTAACCTAGAATTTTCATGAGCACACACTGTCCCTAGAACCTCATACCAGACAACATTAAAATATTTGTTGAATAAACAAATTGAGTAGTGTACAATTTAGAGATTCTTTTTTTTAAGTTTGGGACCAGACATGGTGGCACATGCTTATAATTCCAGCACTCGGGAGGTAGAGGCAGAAGACTGTGAGCCAGTCTGGTCTACACAAGAGTCCTTATCTCAAAAACAAAAAGAAAAAAAACAAGGTTTGGTTTGGATATGTGATTCATTAAGACATAAAAATTTAGGACTGGAGAGATGGCTCAACAGGTAAGAGCACTGACTGTTCTTGCGAAGGACCCAGGTTCGATTCCCAGCACCCATATAGTGGCTAACAACCAACCATAACTCCAGTTCCAGGGGATCTGATGCCTTCTTCTGACTTCCACAGGCATTACACGATATGGGTGCACTTACACACATGCAGGCAGTACACTCATACACATAAAACAATAAAAATAAATTTTTTTAAAGACATAAAAAAATGGCCATAGTGATGCCTTTAATTCCAGCACTCAGAATGCAGAGGCAGGTGGATCTCTGTGAGATCAAGGCCAGCCTGAGCTACATGTCAAGTTCTAGGCAAGCTGGGGCTACAGGAAGACCCTGTCTCAAAAAATAAATAAAATAAAATAAATAAATAAGTAAATAAATAAATAAATAAATAAAAGAGAAGCTTATGAAGATATAGAAGATAATCATGACTAACTGCTAGGTCTGCCATGAAAAAAATGTACTCCCTACCCAGTTAAATATATTTAGATCTCAACTTAAGTACATCTACAGATATTTTTAGATATCCTACCAAATATTCCTGACCATATCTCAACCTCAAAAACTAAGATGCTAAATTTGGAAGCTTTCTATTTATTTATTAATTCGTTTCTGCTTTATGTGTATGACTATTTCACCTGCATGTATGTAAGTGTACCACCTGCATGCAATGCCAAACAAGGCCAGAAGATGTCAGATCCCCTGGAACTGGAGATATAGATGGTTGTTAGCTGCCATGTGGGTGCTAGGAATTGAATCTGGGTCCTCTGCAAGAGAAGCCAGTGCTTTTAACCACTGAGCCATCTCTCCAAGTCCCAAAATGGAACCTATTAAAAATTATTTTCTTAGCCGGGTGTGGTGGTGCACACCTTTAATTCTAGCACTTGGGAGGCAGAGGCAGGCGGATCTTTGTGAGTTCGAGGCCAGCCTGGTCTACATAGTGAGTTCCAGGACAGCTGGGGCTACAAGGAGACCCTGTCTCAAAAGAAGACAAAAAAAATTGTTTTCTTTATGTATATGTGTGTGTGCCTATTTGTCTGTATGTGCAGTATATGCATGTGGCATCCACAGAGGCCAGAAGAGGAAGCTGGATCCCCTGGAACTGGAGCTACAGGTGGTTGTGGGCCATCCAATGTGGGTGCTGGGAACTGAATGTTGGTCCTCTACAACAGCAGCAAGTACTCTTAACCAATGAGCCATCTCTCTAGCTCAGAACCCATTATTTTATGCTATGTAACAAATAAATACAAAAGTATGAAATAAATGAATAAATAGGTAAGGATAAACCACCTTTAAAGATCCCAATAAAATTCTACTACACTGCAATGTGATAAACTGAATACTGCCTCCAAAGATGTCTGTGTTCCAATTCCAGAACCTGAGGCTGTGGTACCTTCTGATGAAGAAGGCATTAGCCTTAACTTGGATTATGTGGATGGGCCTGGTTGAATTTGAGGAGTTAATAGAAGGAGGCAAAACAAAGGGGTCAGAGAGAGGAGACTTGAAAAAGACAGCCTGTATTGTTGGCTTTGGACATGAAGGAAGAAGGGGGTTGCCAATCAAGGTCTCCAGAAGCTGGCTCAGCCTCAGCTTCCAGGCAGCAAAGCAGACCTTGGTTTACAACAGCATGGAATTAAAGTCTGTCAACAACCTAAATAGCAGGAAATTCTGTTCTAGAGCCTCCAGAGAGGAATGCAACCCTGCTGACATCTTGATTTAGTATTGGACTTCTGACCTACTGTGCAAAGATAATAAATCTGCACTACTTTCAGCCCAAGTATTTATTTATTTCAGAGGCAATAGGAAACTAATGATATAAGGACTTTTGAATATATGGGGATAAAAGCCCTGTGATTCCACTTTCTATCAGTAGATTTTCTAACTTTGTTGGTGGGCAAAAAACTGTGCAGTTGCCAGAGTGGAGCTTGGCGACTATCCTGTTAGAGGGCATCCATTATACGTGTTCTGCACAGGGATAAACTCATTTAATCCCCCAAAGAGCTCCACAAGGCACCATCCCTAGAGCACCAGAGTGACTTCCCAAGGTTTCAAATCTAAAATGAGGCAGGGGTGGAGTAGGAGCCAGGTACTTCTGTTCAAGCCTGTCCTCTTATCCGCCAGGGCCAAAAGAATGCCAGCCAATCTTTTCTGGTACCAAAAAGATATACTTTTCTCAGGAAGAGATGAGCTCCCCACCTACATGCACAGGATTTCTGGCTTTTTAATTTCCTAAGTAATGATTTTAAAAAATAGAAAAATAAATGCCCAGTATCTTCTATTTCTAAAATCTTAGGTGATAGAAAAGGCACACATTCAGAACAACTTTAGCTTTATGGAAAAATCTATCATGCCCTTATTTTCTTTTTAATTTTATAGTGGTAAGAACAGTAAACATAGTCCTACTATCTTCATAGATACTTGTTTTGCTGTGTTGGCCTCTTATACACTAGACACACGATCTACCACTGAGCAACACTCTCTGCTCTTAATAGATTTTGAAGTGTCTAATACGATACTGTCACCTAACAGCACAAAGTTGTACAAAAGACCATCAGAATTTCTTCACCTTGTTGGACTGAAACTTTCTACCCATCAATTAGCAAGTCCCCATTTCCCCCTCCTCCAACCCCTGGCAGGCAGCACTCTAGTCTTTGCTTCTAGGAGCTCGGCTGCTGCAGAGCTCTCCTGTAAGTGGAATCGTGCAGTATTTGCCCTTCTATGACTGGCTCGTTTCAAAGGCAAATGTTTTAAGATTGCATAACTTGCTTTCAGCTAAACCCAAGAGTAGAGTTGAGAAATCTGGAATGGAGGAAGAGAAAGCACACAGTGTTTACTCAAGGTGGTGGCTGCTGCCTCCTGCCGAGCTAGCAAAAGCCTGAATTCAACTATCAAAAGCTCAGCTTTAGAAATTCTGCTCAGTTTTCATCTTGTGAAGAGGTTTGTGTTTTTGTGTGTGTTTTCTTGACCTTTAACTAATTAACTATTATTGGCCTTTAGCAGTCATTCTATAATATTTTGA